AATACCTTCTCGATTTTCATGTTCCCCTGATACTTTTTTGAAAATTTTGAATTTTTCAATTTCAGTGAATACCTTCTCGATGTTCATGCTCTCCTGATACTTTTTCAAAAATTTCGAATTTTCAAATTTCAGTGAATACCTCCTCAATTTTCATGCTTCCCTGATACTTTTCTGAAAATTTTGAATTTTTCAATTTCAGTGAATACCTCCTTGATTTTCATGCTCCCCTGATACTTTTTTGAAAATTTCGAATTTTTCAAATTTTAGTGAATACATTGATATTTCACGAACTTTCCTCAATTACCTTAGATTTTCTCAGATTTCTTTTTACATTTTTCCTCAAACTCAACTTCAATGACTACCCGCAAATAAGGAAACTTCATCTCGAGGAATGAAATAACACTTCTCCTTTCCATCCTCAATGGATTCTGTCAGAGATATGAGAAATTCTGATGGAGAAAACTCCCACATTCGCAAAGAAATTCCATTTTTCACGATTGCAATGTCTCCAGTTATCGAATATTCCATTTCACAATGCAAATAATACCGATAAAGAAAAGATAAATAATCATATTGTAAAAATTTTCGCGCCTGAAAAATCCTTGAATAGAATGAACAGTAGAAATTCTATTTCGGATTGGAAGTGAAGTTTTCTCCAATTAAAAATTACGCATACGTCAATCACATCGAAATCTGGGGCTCCCACCATTGAATTTCAATTTTCGATAAACAAAAGGCTCCCGAAGGTAAACCCCCATGGAAAAAATAATTTTCAGATTGATTTACAACGACACGCAACAATAACTGGGATAATTGAAGGAAGTCTGTCAAGCTAAATAATTTTTATTCCCTCCCAAGAGTGAAACCTCAACTTCATCATTTCCTCGAGGAATATCAGGTGCTGTTGTATCGGTTTTTTTTATCGATCTCACCAACTACTCCTCACAAAACCGATTCCACGGTTGTGAATGTTAAACTCCCACTATTTCCAGCTTTTAATTGTACATCTGCTCCAGCTCTAAACACTTGTCGTGACAGAAACCATTGTTATACCTCGAATATCCCATCGTTTTCAGTATAAAAAAATCACTTGTACATTAAAAACAATTGCGTGACTGCTGGGAAAAATTCTTTCATTACCACGAAACAATTTCGTTCTCCACACATCTCTCGATCATCATACAACAAATCTACGATTAATGAATTGGATCGAAAGTGAAACTTCACACGATTTCCCAACGGTTGATAAATATTTTGAATAGCTTACAAGTGTTGGGTAATATCGAATTGGGATCGTAAATATTGATTTTGTAGTGGCAGACACGAAATTAATTTGGATTTAGATAACCCATATTACGGGACTAATTCCTCGTAAATCGTTCAGAAGATTGGAACAGATAGTTTCGTAATTATTATGCATTCAGTCCATTTGTTTGTGAAAAGAAAATTATTGAAAATTCCAAAAGGAAAAATGACAGGTTTACGAAATTGAAGAAATTTCGTGGCACATTATTATTGTTTTTTTTTATTGAGAACGAGAAGTAGTTGTGATGTAATTTTTTGTTTTCCCGTGTTACAGCCAATTTAGAAATAAAAAAATTCGCGTCAAACAGGCTCTCAAGAGAAACGATTGTAACAATAAAGAATGATTTCCATTCTGTAAATACTCTGTTAGGCATTAACTTTTTTAATAACTGTAATTTATGAGGCGTGAAATGGAATTTTTTCATTAAATAGCCTTTGATTGAATATTCACTAGTAGCTGCTGATAAAGTCCATAAAAAACGAGAAAAAGATGGAAAAATTGTAAAAACAATGATTATTTAACTCCCGCTTTATTCAATCCCTTCTCTCATCTTCTCATTTATTATAATCAACACCATAAATGAATGTCTATGAGTTTCGTGATTTTCCATCGCGTTTTAATCAATCCAAGCCATCACACCTCGATCTCTTCACTTTCAACGCTTTGCTATGATTCCAATGATTGGGGTCGTGGACCCTAGCGAAATTATGAAAGTTGAATCCCCTCCCAATTGTTATTGTTGTTCACAAAGAAAAAAGTATTAACACATGGGCATTGGCCCACCTGTGTGCACTAGAACTGTATTAAATGTGAAAGATATGACACACTTGCACGAGCAAGCGTATTATATAGGAGAAAAACTCGCATGGATTAAACGTCAGTCTCATTCAATCCAACAAAGAGCAATCAAGAATCCTCTGGTTTATCAATAATATAATAATTTATCGTCATGGGACACGTGGTGAGCTTCATTAGTGATGATAAAATAGTACAAATCGTGGATTAAAATTGATGAGTTTCAATGAAAATTTGAAGATGAAGTTTACAACGTGTTTTTTTCAACAGATACACGTGGCCTGGATGTTGTGGGCACTGCTACCGATGATAACAGCGAAACAATTCAATTATGGGAGAGTAAAGTTCGATTGTAGACATCGAATGTCAGCTCAGGACCGGTATTCATGGGAGAAACCACATTTAGACAGTTACCGAACGATTGATCCACATGACCTTGAGGATCCCAATGTTGGTATGTAAAAAAATATTTAACTGACATTCGTGCGCACTCTACGTTAAATAAATGTATTCGATAAATTAAATTTATAACAATATATTAAATGCAGTCGTCATGTATGATTTTTCGTTCTGTAATGGAAGTATGATTAATGCATCAAAATCACTTCAGAAAATTGAATTTTTTGATAAAAATTGAAAATATATTTGTATGTGTATATTATAATTATGAAAATTTAACTTAATATTATAATTATGAATTATTTAACGAATTTTGAGCGATTTTTTTTAGCCATTGAATTTGATTGAGGGTGAATTTTCTTTCTGCTGTGTGATCTATATATCTATGATCTATGAGCTGCGTGATCTATATCTATGATCGATATATATATATATCTGCGTATCTATTTTATGACATTTAATGAATAATCAATAAAAAGTCAATCAGGGAATAACTTCTTACGAATGTTAAGGCGTTCTTCGTCAGGAAGACTACGCAGGCTACCAATCAGGAGTAGCAACAATGGACCTGACAGTGGTGCAGTCTCAGGTTGTGCGAGACAATGCAGCAGACAGCACTGGATTAGAAACCAACGTGGAGTCCCGGGTGCAGGATCAGCACGTCCTGGACGAGAGTCACGACAAGAAGACGGTGACAATAGTGAAGAACGTAGCAGAGCCTTATCCCGTCGAGAAGATAATCCACTATCCAGTGGTGAAGAAGATTCCCTACCCAGTTAAAATCCCAGTGCCAGAGCCCTACCCAATCGAAAAGCCAATTCACCACCCAGTGAAGGTCATGATCAAAGTTCCAGTGAAGATTCCCAAACCGATTCCGATCTACAAGGAGATACCGTACGCTGTCCAAGTGCCAATAGAGCGACGAGTCCCATACAAGGTCTACATCCCAGAACCATTTCCAGTCGAACGAAAGATTCATTATGAAGTGAAAGTACCAGTACCAGAGCCATTTCCAGTGGAGCGTAACATACCAGTTGCCGTGAAGATTCCAATCGCTGTACCTCAACCATTTCCAGTTGACAAATTGGTCCATTATCCGGTGGAGGTCAAGGTCGATCGGCCAGTTGCTGTACCAATACCGAAACCCTATGCTGTACCAGTTACAAAACCCGTGCCTTATCCAGTTTACAAGACAAGATATGTACCGTACGAGGTCAAGGTTGACAGACCAGTTCCAGTGCAGGTAATCAAACACGTACCCTATCCCGTTAAGGTGCCAGTACCCCAGCCTTACCCTGTCGAGAAAGAGGTGCCCTATCCTGTTTACAAAAAAATACCGTATCCCGTTGAGATACCGGAAAACCGACCCGTTCCAATTGCATTGGAGAAGAAATCCCAACACGTTGATAAGGAGGTTAATGTCAATGCTGGTATTACTCAAGCGATCATTGAAAAAGGAAAGGCTATGTCGAGAAATTACCTGGATGCTATGGCTGACGATCCAGGGGCTGGGGACAAGTCTGATAACAGTGATGAGGTGAAAGAGGGAGGTGCTCATGTTACAGATAGCAACTAGGGCAAGACAGAGAGCCTCTTCACGTCCTTTATTTTTTTTCTCATTTTTCCTCCCCTGTATCATTAGGGCACTGTGATTCGCTGTAATTCACTGAGTGCGTTCGGGATAATGACGAGGTATTATGCCAATCAGTGGCACTTGTTTCCAGCACTTGTTCAAGCTCCACGATGATCTCTAGTCAAGAGAACGAGATATCCCAATTGTCGGTGCTGATGATATTCTTTGTTTTGTTATCTTTAAGGATTTCGTAATTGGAGTCAATTCCAATTGTCTTTGGTAATTTGAAGAAAGTTTTGTTTTATATAGAAAATGAACGTTTGGAAATTTCTGAGAAACAGAGAAATTGATTTTAAGAGTCTAGGAAAGATCGATTGGCGGTAAAAAACTGGTATAACGAATAGTAGAAATAGAGGAGTTTGAATGTTGTGGACTTGCTGAGCCAGTGGATTGGCTGAATTACTGAAACTATAAAGTCGATAATGGGGTATAATAGTACCCATGAAAACAATGGAGGCAATGCTCGATCTTCTTGGTAAGAGGTAAATTACAGACAGTGAGACAACAAAAGTCATTGAATATTATTTTACAAGTGCATTTGGGGAAAGTACAACTGGTATAAATATTGCTTGTAACCGATCATCTGGCAACTAGTTTATTGTTGGAACTTGTGGGATTAGGACACATTTTGACAGATCGTCCGTCAGTATGAGAGACAGAAATCTGGTTCGTACTCTTATATTCATTTACCCATTTCATGTAGTATTTATTGTTGATCGATCACGTATGAATAAATTATGTGAACATCTTAGTTTGAATCTATCTACGAGACAAATCTCATCAAAAATTCAATGTTGTCATCTCTTATTAATTATTGAAAAAGAAATTTCCTATAGCGATCTAAAATGTCCACAATCATTCGCCCGTAGTCTGTAAATCATTCGTCTATCAAATAGTCTAAATCCCTCTAAAAAATCCTACAAAATATGTCCACAGAATTTTTTCATACGAATCATATCCCCGAACCCATCATTTTTATGTAATACAACCATGTATTTAAATATTGTGACATAAAACGATTAAAACCCGTTCACTCTGTCTGGTTTCTCCAAAAACTCAAAAAATTGCTCAACTCATTACGAATTGATGAGTCTCTAAAAAAAAAAGCGCGAATAAATGTAAATCCTCACGTCGACTCCCTCCCCGTCGCCCTTAACTCATCGGCTTTACCAAGATCAACTAATTATTAGCAAATAAAGCATCTCGACACATCTGATTAGCATAATGAATAATTCCCTCGAATCTTGTGCGTGATTTAATTAGGTGGTGCAGTTGGTAGGTGTTACCTTTCTCTGTCTAGCCCTGACTAGTTCCGCTAGCCGGAGGGAGGAACTTGAACGAGCAGCTGAGTTAGCGGTTGAACGTGCTGCGGAGAGAGTAGCAGAGAAGGCTGTTGAGAAGGCACTGGAAACTGGTAATTCATCGACCGAAACCGAAACGATACGCGCGTCCCATTCCAGCGTTAGGAAGTATGACTTTACCCAGCAACTTCCTATTTATACAATTCTAACCCCCGAGCAGAGGAATGAAATGCTGAGGATGGAGAAGGAACAGGAGGCCGGTGAATTGGCTGTCAAACAGATAAAGCACACCTTATTCAGACGTCAGGCTGACGATTTTGGACCGAGTTACGGTCCCGAAGGAGGTGATGATTTTGATGACGTTGGCCCAGGATTCGGGAGTAGCTCAAGCGTCGAAGATGACATTGGCCCAGGATTTGGCAGTAGCAGTGGTGGTAGTGGTGGTTCTGGTGGTACCAAGGACGAGGACAACATTAGTCCAGGTTTTGAAAGCATTGGAAGACTGCCCTTCGGCAGTTTGGGCTCTAGTTTCGGAAGAGGACCATTGGGATTCTCACCAGGACTCGGTTCCACTGGAGATTTCACATCCTCGAGATTCGTACGACAGTATCCCTACGGAAATCCTTATCAGCACAGTCATTATCAGTTTGTCCCGGTTCATCAGGCAACACGAGTTAGTAAACCAGAGGAACCCGCTGCCCCGAAGAGGAAGGAACAGCCTCAGGTGGTACCTGCCATAAAACCTCTCATTCCTCCCGTGAGGATCTATCAGGTTGAAACAAAACCTATCTTCTATTATAATCCCCCCGTCAATCATTACGCAGCTCCTTTCTTCTATCAACAGCCGCAGGTGAAGTTTGTCAATCAGGGAGCAGAGATCAGACCCGGAGCAGGCGTCGAGGGAAAACGACAACGCCGTGTACCGTAATAATACTTCTTAATGAATTTATGTGTTAAAATTCCAGGAATATAAGTTTGTAAATTTCCAAAGACTTCTGCCAATTAAACAACTTTTTATCGAACAATTCTCCATCATTTATTTAATGATGCGTTCCTCTAATCTTTTCTTTTCATTTTTCTTTTTGTCACGTTCTTCAATTCACCTTGACAGATGAGAAATGATCCGCCGGAAAATCTCGTTTATTACTTGCAATCCAGCAAAAGTATACGACTGTAACCGGCACTCTCCCTTTCACTCGAATACAGGCGATTAAAAAAACAGTCAGGTGTTAAAAATAATAGAGGAAAATGTTCATAACTCCTAGTGACTAGTCAAGAAAAGAATTTCTACAGCGTCAAATGGACTTTCGTACACCAATAGTGTGAACAGCGAATAATAGTTTAACAACTAATATTGACACACAATCATTACCAACTTTTTCCATATTTTTCATTATGGTATGTAATCTAGGTGCATTGTTACTCAATAGATAAGGCGGAAGTATATGACACCACAAGTGCTACATCATTATACTCAGTCGAAAGCCGATGTATGAAGCGCCAAGGGAATATATCACGTCATCTGTTCGTTGCAAATTAAACTTTCACCAAAGTCCATCTTGTGCGATGGCACGAAAAATAAAAAAAATCGTATGATTCTTCCATCATAATGCTCCGGAGATTCAACTGAACTCAACAAATTAGTGGAGAACTCAGTTTGTTTTTTTTTTTTTCGGACTTTATGAGACTTTTCCTTCGCTAAGGAGTAACGGCCTCTTGCGGTTTACATCATTGCCCTTTTGCTGGCATCTATGTACATCCTCCTTCCGGTATTTACTCGCTCTCACGCATCGCTGGATTTCGTTATATATAATACTATTGTGATTCACTTGGGTAGAGTATCAGTGCCACAAAAAAAAAATTTCCTTTCTGATGAATTAAATTATTTTTTCACGGAAATCTCATCGATAACTCGTCAAATCAATTTATGCGACAGAATCAGCAGATCTTACCGGAAACTCGGTATGTCAAAATACTTCTATGAAACATTCATGAAATTCTTGGAGGAAATCCTGCGGATTCTTCCGGTACTCCCACGCCGGTGGTCAAAATCGTCTGATGGAAGTGAAAAAAAATATTCATATCTTCCGACTGAGTGGGGGTTAATCTTCAACAGTGTAACGTTGTGGTTGAGATATTTTGGCGTAATGTAAAGTACACCTTGTTGCACACACAGCGAGAATAGTCTTTCACTTTCGACGAGGAGTAGGCACTACTATGCCTAGGATTTTGTTGGCGGGGAAAGCAGTTCGTTTGGAGCATATATAAAGTGGATTCCAGCAAGGGGGGATCAATCCAGTTAATCTCTGGACGAAGACCAGATAACAGAGTAGCGAACAATGAGGATTTCGGTGAGTGTCAGTAATCCCCGTCTCAAATCATTTCACCATCATTCATTCATCATTCTAATTGATCAATTATTCTTCACAGATACTAGTGGTTGTGGCATTGTCCATGCTGGTGAGTTTTGCCGCCAGCAAGGAAGATGTCAAAAAAGAGGTAGAGCCCTCACCATCTGCCGACACAGCAGTGGATGACAGTAAGATCGAGAAGAAACAGGAGAAACGAGGACTCTACCATTCAGAGGGTGACTACGGAGGTGGCTACGATGGTCTCTTCGTCAGCCACGACTCCTCCAACTTCGGAGGTCACTCAAGCTACGGTGGTGAATCGAGTTTCGGCGGACATTCCGGTGGTCTCGAAGATCACCATCACGAGGCCAAGATCAAGGAAATAACCATAGTGAAGAACATCAAAGTTCCGTATCCAGTTGAGAAGAAGGTTCACTATCCAGTGGAAAAAGAAGTGCCTTATCCAGTCAAGGTACACGTGCCCCAGCCCTATCCAGTGGAGAAGAAGATTCCAGTACCGGTAAAAGTTTACGTCAAGGTACCTGTGCACATACCAGCTCCTTATCCAGTTGAGAAAAAAGTGCTTTATCCGGTGCACGTGCCAGTGGACAGGCCTGTACCTCACAAGGTTTATATACCAGCGCCTTATCCAGTTGAGAAAAAGGTTCATTATCCAGTTAAAGTGCCTGTGCCACAGCCATTCCCAGTGGAGAAGAAGGTGCCTTATGCCGTCAAAGTACCGGTTCACGTACCCCAACCTTATCCAGTTGAGAAAGCCGTGCCCTATCCGGTAAAGGTACCTATTGACAGGCCCTACCCAGTTCACGTTATCAAGCCCTATCCCGTACCTGTAGAGAAACACGTGCCCTATCCTGTCGACAAGCCTGTCCCCTATCCTGTCAAAGTTCACATTGACAGGCCTGTACCCTATCCCGTTGAGAAGCCCGTTCCATATCCCGTCAAGGTTCCCGTACCTGCACCCTATCCCGTGGAAAAAGCTGTGCCCGTACCTGTTGAAAAACCCGTACCCTATGCCGTCAAAGTCCCCGTAGAGAGACCAGTTCCTGTTCACATCACCAAACACGTGCCCTATCCCGTTGCCAAACCCGTACCTTATCCCGTCAAAGTACCTGTACCCTATCATGTACATCATCATGAGCATCACGAGCCTGAACACCACGACTTCTCCGGTGGTGATTACTCCGGGGGAGAGCACGGCGGCGAGATCGAGTCCCACGGATACTAAAGGGAATCGTTGATTTTGATCTATTTTTAAGTAGATACTAATGGAAATTATTTTGATTGTTCTTTCATCATTCTTTCAATGTGAGTGGAATCCAAGGTGGAGTTGAATCATCAATTCCGATGAATCACAAGATTCAAGGATCACAATTGTGATCATGTGGTACCTTATTAGATATCTCTCTGCACAATTCAGGTAAATCAATGAAAATTTATCTTGCAGACAATGGTAATTGCCGCAACCGCAGTGATTATTCTGTTTTTTGTATATTTTTACCAGATTTTTTATTAATAAAAAACCAAAGATGGCATTCGTGGTGTTCTTCTTTCACTTATAGATACCTATTATTAGTAAGAATAAGTTCATTTAGGTACTCACCGAATGTAAGGTACATTGGCAGGCACGTGGTACTTCGCCCCAGGATCAAAATCATCTTCAGACCGCAAAACTGGTGGTTTGATTCCAGCGTAGAGCTCCATCAGACGATGCCAATGACAATTGTACTCCTCTCGAGTAACAACTCCTTTGAAAATATCCCATCTCCATCTATCCACAGCGATACTGAACGGCAGTAGTGGCAATTTCTCCATTGCCAAGGAGAACAGATAATTTATATCAGCCTCAGGCTCATCGATGTACTTATTCGCTAATCCCAGAGTTTGCAAGTGCTTGGGTGTACCAATACTGAGGGCAACAGCTTCTCCAACGGCTTCGTGAAAACCTTAACGAGATAATGAAATCAAATGAATTCAATCACCTGAAGGAGTGGCGGGAATAATAGGAGGTAATGGCAGTGTTGTAAATAGCATGTGAAATTATCGATCTAAATGCGTATCGAGCATTCATATTGCAATTAATGAAAATAAAAAATGATAAAATGCCGGAAGACTTTCCTGCACGTGTGTGCATCGAGTCAACCGAGTTTTCCGGTTGTGAAAATCACCAGTGGCTGTGGTGAAAGTGCTATAATTATAAACTCCAATGTTAAAAACATATATTTCAGTGGTTATCGTGTCTCTAAACGTCGTGCTCGTATTTTATCATAAATTGTCGTCTATTAAAATCACGAGCTTGATGGTGCAGTGGCTTGAATTAATCAAACAATCCGGTGCGACAGACACTGATGTCACGAGGATTGAAGCTACGAGTCATATTGTATAACTTAAATTGTGAGTACTATTGGTTCGTTGGGTTTTGCTTTCAACGCTATTACTTGGTAAAAGCTAGTGCTATCTTCCTGTTTCAATCCAGAAACAGCTATCTTCCTACTTTACGCATCTAGCTCATCCCCCCCTCTGTTATGCTTTGCAATTCTTTTAGACGGGTGAATCACTCAAGAATGCCACCGGCTCACGTAAGAGTTCTATTCTATTTCCTATTTTTCGTATTTTCGACTCTCACCTGGATTAGCACCGTCTCGGAATTCCCGGGGCAAGTGGCTATATCTCAAGAAATACTGGATGTGCGCCATTTCGTGGTGAACTGTTATTAAGTCCTTCATTGTTACCTTCGTACACATCTTTATTCTGCAAAAGACATGAAAGACATTCTGTAATTATGTAAAAAATCGGAATAAGAGGAATACAAGAGACTCGCGTTATAATGGCGTGGATAGGGGATGGTAATTCGAAGAATGCGACTGTATGCAACTACCCCACACGCTCGCTGCAACCATAAACTGAATTTTTTAATTTTTAATTAGATGCAAAAGAAAATCTATGCAATTGAAATTAGTTATGTGGTGGAGACGAATAATTTTTTCTCAATAAACGGAAGAACATTTTTTTTGTTTATTGAATTGTAAATAAAAAAGTTGATCGTTAAGATCATTTGATTGCATTATCGCTTTTTCTCGGTTCTGATTGAATGGTCCAGCCAATAATCATTTGGTCTGTGTGTTAATGGTCTACCTGTAATCAATTCGGTTACAGAAATCCCATGCGGAAGCCTGACAGATTAATGGCCGATCCCCTGGATCAGCTATAACACTTCCGGCCCAGAACTCAGGTGGCAGTGCACTAAGATTAAGTGAGAGGTAGAATTCTTCGGCAACCCGGAACATGTCTATGGGTGTGTATCCCTGGAAATAAAATCAAATGTATGGAAATCAGGCGATTGATAATAAAATTATACAATTGGCTTTATTGTTTTCACTTTGAAGAGAATGGTACTTACCTGCGCCAGCATTTCTTCGGACACGTCCATGTAGTATTTACCGGGATAAGGTGTGGTTATGTCTAGAAGATTTGTCCAGGATTGGCCCCAAACGTTTCCTGAGAAGGGTTATTATCAGTCATTGGATTCTTACTGTGGGAACATTTCGTATACTAGTATTTGGGGCGCGCTTTGCGAGCCTATAATCATCATATGAGCGCACAACTTCGTGAAGCTATCATTACCTTCATAAATCACGCGAAAAGACTAATTAATAAATGAATAATAATGACACGGCTCAAACTCACCGAGAATATGAGCGGGAAGTGGTGTGTGCCTGCCGATCTTTTCAGGTCCATACAGATCTCTCAGCCTCTTCCTGATGTATGCTTGAAGCTCTTCATAAAGCGGTCTGATATTATTCCAAACATCGTCAACTTCCGCCTGGAAGTTTATCGTCTCGTACGGGAACATCCAGTACTCCGCAGCATCAGTGAAATCTAATCACAAATCGCGTGTCTCTGATTTGTGCATTAATTTATGAAAATCAATGAATTAATTTAACTCACTATTGAGTCGAGCTGCGTCATTGTTGAGTCGAACAAGCTGTTGGTACAGATCACGAATTGGTGTTCCACTTCTTCGTCTCCACTCCATCCAGACCCACTGTAGTTCGTCCCAGTCTCTGCTCTTCGCCATTATTTTCGAAATTTCTACAGAACAATTGGAATAAGGTCAGTCGTTATAGACGAAACAAATTCTCATTACTTTTTTTTTCTCTCATTGCCGCATTACACTCTCGACTAATTTTCACTTCATGCACATTTGCGCGGATATACGCGTATCGCGATAACTCCAGCTTTCTCGATACGCACACGATTGCATGGAAATCACTTTTAGAAATGAGATGAATAAATTGATCACTTTATTGCGCTTGTAATTGATACGTTCGACCAGTTCAATGAATTTTAAGTGGATGATTTCTGTCGAATTTTCCAGTGCTCGCACGTGAGACTATTTAATTGCGAGGGGCCAGATAATTACTTCGAGTTTTAATAACTGACTTTTTGGTTATTAAAATTCGAATGCACTCGTCTGCACAGGTTATTAAATAAAACTTTTGCATATTCATTAGTTGTTATTAAAGAGAAGATATGATTAATTTTATTATTTATTATTTTCTTAATATTAATATACATCAATCTTTAATTATTAATTCCATTTGTCGATGATTTGGGTAACTTACCTAGCGGTAAGTTATATAATACTCAGTTAGCCGTATTATTTATCAAATATTTCACATAAATTAATAAAAAATATAAATACCTGGATATAATCTAAGTCCGCACTTGAATGGATCATTATAAGCGCATATTGTAGCCGAGTTATAAATCGCCAGCATGTCATTAATGACTCGATTGTACTGCAACAAGAGAATAGGCGAAAACCCATTAAGCCTGAATATAACGAATAAATTACTGTAAATAATTCTCAGAAAATTATGCAACACCGACACGCAGCAATCGTCTGAATCCTCTGCCCATTGAATAGTCGCGGATATATTCATTGCAGTTAATAAATATGTACAGTAAAACTCTACCTTTTGTGCATCAGTCATGTTCATAAACATCTCAAAACACTAACAACCATCAAAAGATGCCAACTCTGTTTACAACATTTTTTTCTGATGAATCCACAAGGACGCGAAAGGGAGAGGCTACATTCAACTGCCACTTCTGTCCCATTTCATACCAATCCTCACAATATATTACGTAATTCCTTTATTTTGCAGTTAATGGGGACTTGAGGTCTTATTTCTTCAACGTATTAAAAATATATGGCACTTCGCTGTTTATTACATTTAATTCTCACACTGCTCGGGAGAGTATGACCTAGTCGAGGTAAGACATGAGACAGAAGGATGGAAATAGTGAGGGGTTTGGAAGAATCGTTTTGTTAATTTATACATTTTTTAAGTAAAGTAATTGTGTAATGAGTATTACGGTGATGAGTACACTGCTGCAAAAGTATATTTGAAATTTCCAGGAAGAAAATTGAAACTTTCAGCAACAAGTGACATGAAATTTGTGTAGATGATTTCAGTGAGGATTCTATTAATTTCTTGAATATTCTGGTAATTTTCAATTTTTAGATCCACGCCGCACTGAAAATCGTGGAAATGATGAAAATTCACGTAATGATTTCATTTAACGTGGAGAATCCAATTTTCTTGAATTTTCGGGACGAATGAGAAATTACCGCCTTTAATTGAAATTGAATTTAATTAATTATATTAGTATCAATTAATTATCTAAAAATTGAATAAATTTCTGAATGAAGTGATATTTACTATAACAAATTTCCCGAATGATTAATTTTGAAAAAAGAAAATTCTCCAGTACGTCCTTCACAGTTTCACTTCCCGAAGCCTGCAGGTCTCCCTGATAAAACCAACCGATCAATCCTAAAAACCAGTCCCCTATGCGTTCCACCTGGTTGCACACTTATCCTCTCCATGAATACCAGAAGCAGCGATAGAAAAACACTTGACTCTTGCGGTTGCCAGGAATTTTTCAGTTACATTACTCCCCAGGTAGTGACCTGATTTACTTGTGGCCTTAATCAACGAAGTAAAAATATCATAAAAATCTACTGACTCTGTCCAATTGATCAGGAGGCAGTGCAGCAGGACCCACCACAGACAGGTACCTGAGGCGCCTCCTGAGGAAGGCATCGCGTTGATTCAGAGGATCCAACTTGTTCAGCAGGTGCCACGCCTCATTCTGGAATTCTGCGTACTGCCTCTGCGACTCCAACTGCATCAAAATTTGAGATAACACTTAATTCATGAAGATTCAAACAGCACGAATATTCTGCAATTCTTACCACTCCTTGATTAATTAATTAATAAATGTACGAATAATCGCACGTCTTAAAATTACGTCCTATTAATTCGTTATGATGAAAATTAACATTGACTCATTAATGGATTAATTGCAGAACGATTTTTTCCCACGAGAACAATAACATCTTTTTTTTATCTCAACCAGTTCATTCCTGGGATATAACATCAAGTGAGCGGATAATTTGTAATGGTAATTAGAGTGAACAGCGTCTCAAGTTCATTTATGTTTAATGATTGATCGGAAAATTGTTATTAGGGTAATTTTAGTGTTTATCTCGGTTATTGCATCGTGAGAAAGTGCAGTTATTGAACTTTATCAAGGTAAAACAGGAAGAGCGGGAGTGTTACACAAGGCATTGGTATCTGCTGATAAGAATGTGGGTGAGGTTTTTGTTTCAGTCATTGAAGGCTCTTCACTCCATCCGTTTTACTTTCTTTGAATTATTCTGTCACCGTGACAGAACATTAAAGTCGACAATGCGGTGTCCGCTATTTTTCATTCAGGAATAAACGAATTCGATGATGAGGTAATGGTGATAATTGTTACTATCACAATCACGCGACTCTATGGAAAGTCCAGGGAACATTGTGAGTGATCCGGTGGTGAGTAGTAATGTTCGTGCTGAGTAGATAAAGCTCTTTGGGCTAGTCTCTTGGGTAATAACGTAATACTAAAATGTTGTGACTTGACGGTAACAGACAATGGCAACACCTGGGAACATTTCCCGTATTGAGGTGCACGTTAAGCGTTTGATGATTATGATGATGGGGAAGAATTGTGAGGGTGAGCATGAGGGAATTGGGGACGCGAATCCTGAGATCGGGTCGAGGACTCTTTCACTAAAATATTCTCGACCCAACGGCGAAATTAAAAAGACATTTTATTCGATTATATTAGTTGGAATTTTTATTCATCACCTTCAATATTCTCCCTCATCGTTTATAATTGTTTATAATTTCATCTAACCTTTGCAGCTCAGAATATTCTTACTAAATATTGTCAAATTGCTCAGATTAATGATAAGAGACAAAACTCTAGGATTGGTTAAATAATTCTGTAAATATCGGATAAAAATCGGAGATCGTAGTCCTTGAAATTCGTGGACGAAAAATTTTTGATAATTTTCGTTGATATGAGAGAAATGTAGTTTATCAAATTGATTTAACTGTGTCCTTCGCGTTCGGCTGAAATGAAATACCTATCACTTCGGAAAATTACGGGTCTAGGGTGCATTAGTCATGAACTAGCCGGAAATAATCATGAAGAAATGGGGCCAGCGTGAATAAACCCCCGAAATATACCCCGAAACTTTCATTCCGATATTTTGCTAATGACTCACGTCGTCAACCGAATATTATGAGAATGGTGTGAAAATACTGGTAGTGTTATCACACCCGGTGTGAAGCGATCAATTTCATTATGTGGGCGACTTTGGTAAGTAAAGACCCATGAAAAAAAAAATTACAGTCGACCATTGATGGAAGAGACACGAGTGCCTCTTAATGTAAATTAATCTGGCTCTTCACTGAGTTCTTTTGAATTATCTCCGAAACTAAAGGAGTTATCGAAATTCTTGCAATAACTAATTTTAAAGCTCTCAATTAGCCCTAACAAAAAGATTCTAACGAAAAATTAAGTATCTCGTTTAGTTTTGGAGTTAAATTGAACGAAAGGGAAAATAGAAATTCCGCAATGGGGAAGGGGATTAAACATTTTTAAAAAAGTTAAAAACAAGA